GTGTACATTTTTATATGGAATTTGATTTATGGAAAAAGCTATATCGTATATCGATGTTTCCATGAAGTACTCAGTGAGCGCCATCGTGTGAATATTTTCTATCACTAATGCTCGAACGAATATGATTAATAAGCGACTCGGCGGAAATAATTCGGCGGAATCATTAGAGCTGTTACAGGCACATTTTTTTTATACGACTGCCCAAAAAAGTAGTGAATTATGTTAAGGGTTGTGATGGGTTGGATGCTTTGGCAAATGAATAAAAGGCTGATCAAGCTTGAAAACTTGATTTATTAGAGGGTAATAAGAAAAACTTAGAAAATATTTCACGAAAATATGCGTTCACATGTTTCTTATTTAAATTATAATAACTTTATTATTATACTTATATGATTAAATTATCATGTTCTCACCAGATGACTTTTTACGAACTGACATGAATAAAGAGCATATTGGATTATTCAAAATTTCAAATTACGAAAGATTAATAATAAAAAGAAATGATGTTAAATACCAAAGACAATAAGTTTGTATGCGGATGAATACCTAGGACGAAATAAACTTTGTTACAGGTCAATGAAAGTTACAGGTTTAATATGTATGTAAGTTTCATTATTCCACCATAATATAATGGATATAAAATCATAGGGTATCATTAGATAACGTAATCATCCAATCCGATCAACCGATCACTAAAAGGAATAAAACAGAAAAAAAATAGTTTTTATTTTATTCCTTTCATTTAAAATTGAAAAACACGCCACAGACGAACTGAATATAAAAGAAACGAGATGTATTATGGCTTACTAAGTCTTAGAGTCGTTTAGCCAAATCATAATAAATATGGCTTGTTTCTTTTATTTTTAGCTCAGTTTTGGCAGTCGCATTTTTTAATTTTGTCTATAATTTGATGCTTGGTGATTATAAATCTAAAACAAATAGAATTAAGAGTATTAAAATACATACGCAAAATAAGGATATGGTTAATACATTTGGTGTACAATACGTATATTAAGCACCTATCACAAGGGATGGTCATAGAATAGGTGAATAAAACTTTTATATTTCGAGTTCTTCCGTGCTTCAAATGTGTGCTTAACGTATTGCATCCGCAACCATTAACACCCACCATTCACGTTGAGCCAATGTGGTGGGTCATGGCGCATTTTCCCTATTCGATTCGATTCTATACATAGGGAAGGCCTAACCTGATAAGGCTGATGAAGATGATGATGAAAGGTGCCAAAACGTCTAAAATGAAATTAAATATACAAGCGTTATCACCCGTTTAAAAGTAGTTTTATTTAATATAGACCAAGATAAACCTACAACTTCTAGCAGCCACAATAAAAATCAAACGAGTTTCTTTTGTTTCCAGTGTTTTTGTCTATCTAAAGATGACAAAAAACACTGGAACAGTTATCACCAATTTACATGCAGTATTACCGAGTAAAAAGTGCAAAATTATGTGGAGACATTGAGTATATGAACAGTATTACCACAGTTAACTACATACAACAGTATGCTGTGATCAGTTTTTTGTAGCAGATTGCACGTTTATTTATCATTGCAAAATATGAACTGTAAAAATATGTTGATTAATATGTAATATAATTAAATTAACAAGAATAAATTCAGTATTTTATGAGTCATTATTGTTTTTTTTTGTTAAGGAAACTTGATTCTAAATTTTATTTTTATATATTACTCCATAAAACATGTAAAATATTCTTTAATCTGTCAATAAAATTGGTATATATTTTTTGATATGTCAACTTGATTAAACATGACGTTGCACTGGAATCTGGCGAAATGTATACGACAACGACACTTAAAGTTGCCTATTGCCATAGATGTGTTGTGTTTGAGCTTAAAACTGGAAAAAATGTGTTTCTTAATTAGTAAAGTATAGCTCAATGTCGCAGTGCTTAGCGTATTCGGTCTGCGAAATTAAGTAAATTTAAACCACAGAGGTCGGTCATACCAAGCATTTACTAGGTACTACGAATTCCTTCGTGCTTCAAGAGGCACTTCCAGCTGTTGGATTCATCTGCATTTAATTAATAATAATTTGATTTAATTTCATCTATAAGGAAGCCCGGTGCCCTAATAATGTAGACATTACTAGGATGGTAATGATGAAACTAAAATCTACAGAAATCAAAGTTCAAAAAGGAAAATCGTAAAGTACCACAAAATAATTATTATAAACATGACGAAATTCAGTGACACACCGATTGACACGTTGACTTGACACTTAAACAAAGATCGAATTTTTGAAAACGCGTCAATAACATACACGGACTTTATGTATACATGTTAGCACACAGGATTACTACAAAAACACCAATTTCCCTTCAATTTTGAACTTCACTGTGAACAGATTAAGGCTTAGCACCTGGATGACCGAGCCTTGGTCCGACTTTTCACAAATAACAGCTAGATCAATTTATCGCGCCCGAAGCCACTTCCTGGTGTTAAGAATGGCTAATTCAAAGGTATTAGATAATAGATTGATTGATTGTTTAATACTTTATTGCAATAAAAAAAAACAAACACATAAAACAAAAAGAAATGAACATATATGCAAAAGGCGGCCTTATTGCTAGGGTAGCAATTTCTACCAGGCAACCTTTGGCTAACAGAAACGATACAAATCAATCCAAAAATCGATAGTAGACATTTGATTTTTAGTAGAAATTTTACCTGATGTTGAATATAATTAAATTAGTCACTGTGACGTATCCATTAGATTATAATATTGATAGCGTATGCCTTTAATAAATAAAGGCATTTAATAAGTAAAGGCATACGGAAGCATATTGATTAAATTACTATATTGTCTTGAATAGTTTAGTGGTGTGTTTTGTCATAGTGTTATATTAAAATCCAAAGTTCTTCTAAAATTCATGCCAAACAGAAATTGCTGCAAATACAAGATAAATAAAGCTTACTTCAAAGTACATATATGTAATGTTTGACCTTGATGAACTGTGCATACGGTCTGTCAATAAGATCTAATTTAAGAATAGACTTACAGTGTTTCTTATGCAAGCTGCCGATATAAGTGGAAATAGTTCACAAATTAATAGAGAGAGTTGCCAAAATTTGCTCTTCTTTTTAGAAAATTGTGCGGTATACTTTAAATTTAATAAAGCACTCATTTGACACTATTGTATACATCTATACAAACAATATAGTCCAAATGTATATAGTCCTTGATAACGAGGTCTTAATAATGTTCAAAATTCATGGTTGAATTTCGGCAATAAACAAGTCATATAACAAATATAAAACACGGAACAGGATTCGAATGAATATAAGCAAAATAAAGCGTTTAGTGTCATATGATTATTACTGAGTATCGCTTCACTACGCCATCATATACGCAGACGGTATCGGGTGAAATCACGTCAACAATGCGTTCCCACAAGGTGGCGCTGCGCTCGACTTTCTTAGAAATACACCCGAGCGCACTTTCCATTAATTTTGGTGTTAGTCATTTATTTGAAACTGATTGGATTACATGTATAATGTGATTGAAGGATGGATGTGTCAAAGTGTATGCTTCCATTTTCTCAAATTACCTCAAAAAATAAAGTTACCATAATAATTTTCAATTTGGGAAACAGTGGAAGTTTCATTAAAATCGTTTCAGTAGTTCAACTAACTTCAAAGTATACTAGGTACTATGGAAATAAAACCGACAAAATATATGCCTATTCTATTCTGTCGAACCTCGTATATGAAACTCGTAATTAACATGAAATTAAAGTTATTTTTTACTGCAAATAATAAAAAATATTTCAATACAAATGACTTAAACAAGCCTAAATACTCGTACCTAAATTAACAATACGTATAATATTTACATTATATCAGTTCAAAAAACAAAATAAGAAAAAGAGTTCTAACTAAAAAATCTACAGTGCGTGTACTACCAGTTAACGCTTGACACTCAACACTCAATGAGTTTATTGTTTCCATAGGTAATTTTAAATAACGTTACATACTATAGTAAGTCCCACTATGGACTTTGTCGATCACAACAATATTAGAATGGAGGAGCACTATTATTGTATTATAATTATAAACAATACAGAATTATAAATTTTCAATTTCTCTAATTTCATAATATAAATATATTAGATTTAGTATTAAAACTTGTTGTTGTTAATCATCCATTCATTCATTCTAAATTTTTATTAATTACTTCTCCATCATATAAAAATAATCCAAAAATCAATATTACAAAACAACAAGAGGTCGAATAAAAAAGTACCAGGAGTCTTCATGCAATTATAATGCTAATCTAGCGTAATGCTAGTTTTAACGACGCTTAAAATTAAAATTTAAAAAGATAATTAACTCAAAATGAAAGAAGGAAAAGTTTTTATTTCACAAATATCAGCTATTAAAAAATGTTTCACCGTAGTTCAAGGAATCAGAACGAGGATTCCTATTACAAGATGAGTTCGAAGTTCAAAATATCTAGTTATCTAGCTTACTAGCAGTTAACAACAGTGGATGTGAGCCGATGCCAGTCGATCGGTTGCCGCAAGTTATCGTTTTAACGATAACCGTTTACCGGTTATCGGCGGCAATTAGCCAAGCTCGTCTTACACTGTTTCCTGAGACGCGGGTGTTCGCGCTAAACCGTTGTTGTGTGACACCACGGGTTTCTGATTTTGCAAATTCCACAACTAATGAGGTGGATAGTCTACATTAACATGTGTCGCCAATACCTCTATCCGTACTTTTCCATTACCGATAGCCAGTGTGTCCATCACCTTATTATACTACGATAGGGCTGCCATAAAGGTATTTCACTCCTATTTTTTAATCATAATTAAAAAATATATATATATATATATATAATAAAATAGCCTTGAAGTCGACATCAAGCACAACAATGTCACAGCATAGAGCTTCTATACAAATATAGAGCTATCAACCCTGTCAGCGGAGTCAAAGAAGACTGACGAAACTAATTTTATCTAAAACTAGCAATTAAATGACAGACCATTAAAATACTGATGAATCAGTTTACATGTGTGCATTAGTTCGTCTGTCATCATACAAATAATTCTTAATTTCTTTCATTAACCTTCATAAGTGCGTTCTATTTTAATTTATTAGTACTTTAAAAAGATTTTATTTTTTTGTTTCTTTGTATTAGATTAACTCAGTAACTACCGAACCAATTTTAAATATTCTTACACCAATATAAATAAAAACAAAAAACATCACATACATTACTCTAATTCTGCTAAAGTTTGTGTAATAGCCTCATCCACCAATTTTACCATTGCACTATCTACAAATAAATCAATATTATTAGAGCAATATCTTCCTCATAAAAAAATGCAATTCTATTTAGTCCGTCAGTCAGATAATAGAAAAATATTAGATACGTATTTTTTTATTATTTCAATTTAACGAGAAATAGCTTAGATAACAGGCATTAAAGTTGAGGAGTGGGGGCTCGCTACGTCACAGTTTTGTAGAAAATGTACCATAACGTGACGTCAAGCGAAATTTCAACTCCATGTAACGCCGTAATTTTATGTTTACGAAAAAAAATAAAAAAATATGTGTTTAATATTTTTCAACACTCTACTTGACAGACAAATAAATGAAAATTAGTCGTCATCCCTATTGCAAGTAGTTGAAATTTTATTGACATGCGAATATTACGTAAACATTTGTATAGAAAGAAGTGAATGTATAAACATTTTTTTCTTTCTCCGCAGTATGATGGACTCTGGAGGGGCAGGAATCGCGGAGTCACCCCCCACATACCACCGCAGCTACGAGCAATACGTCCAAGGAGGTGTAGAGACCAGCACTGATTCCACCCAAGACCAGGCCAGTCCAGACTTAGTCGTGTGGTCTGCTCTACCTTATGGCCTAGACTATAGAGCTCAATATGACTACAGAAGCCCATATGACACATCTAGAGATTACTCCACCCAGCAGTACGCTAGGGCGCCTTTTGCCACGAAAATGGGGCAGGCGAAAGCTCTCAAGGAGGCCAGGATAAGGAGGCCTATGAACGCTTTCATGGTGTGGGCGAAGGTGGAGCGGAAGAAGCTGGCTGATGAAAATCCTGACCTGCACAATGCTGATTTGAGTAAAATGCTAGGTGAGTATTTCTTTAAAAAGTTTTTAATTTTTATTTACCTATGAGTTTCAAACGCAGAGATACAAAAGTATAGTGATATATCTTTAACAATAATATTTCAATACAGTTAAGTGGCCAAACTCCAGCAATTACAGTGATGTCATAGCACAGAGATTCTAGAAAAGGTAATAAATATATTATTTTATATAATCTCTATATTAATTATGACAGAATGATAGTCTTACTTTGCGGAATTCAATAAAGGTTTTTTTTTATTTATTTTTAATTTTTATCTATTGCATAGTATCTCCATAGGATTTATTTGTATTTGAAACTATACTAATATTCATTCACCGTGTCAGGCTCAGAAAATAATAAGCGAAAATAACGAAAGTAATGCAATTGTAAATAAAAGACCGAGATCCGGCAATAATGCATTTATTTTGCGTCTCTTTACACCTAGGGTATATATCTTTCGTCTCTATTTTACTCAACCAATCATTCTGATATAATCTATTTGCTCTTTTCATCTTACACACTTAACATTATTCCTCTTTTTCGTACAAAGTTACGTTCAGAATTACATAAATAGAAAGTGACTTCATAGCCTAATGAAGTCACTTACCAATAAGACCTCTCTGTGTGAAATAAAACAGGGAGAAAAAAACAGCCCTTATTGAGTTTCTTGCCGGTTCTTCTCAGTACAATGTCTCCCGCCGTAGTTTTGTGAACCGATGGCGTGGTTTTCGACATTCACAAGTGCTATGTAACAGACTGAATAAACGACTTTGATTTGATTTAACTTTACACAAAAACATATGATATTTTACCACGTTTAAGTAATAACTTTAAGGTCTCCTTAAGTCATAGTCTTCATCCAATTAGTACATAAAACAAATTTTACCAGTCTTTATAGAGGGGATATCAGAAGAAGTAAGAATCGATGACTCATTTCACTCTATTGTATAAATTATTAGGTAATAATAATCTCAAGAAAAAGTAATAAAAGTCCACCACGCATGTTCTACCACCAAAACAAGTATTTCCATTCCGATTGTTGATAAAATGTGCCTTTAAATTATTGATCCTTGGCTAAGTACCATTCATTTAAATTAAAATTAAAATGTAAACATTTTTGCATTTTTATTAGTTATTTCTTTTAGTGTTGGCTATAACTGTTATTGTTGAGTTTCATTATTTAAATAATTGTTAAATACATAAGAAAATTATAATGTAAAAGACAAATGTCAAAATACATTATTCATTATATCTATTATGAATAGGAAATGTTTGATTGTTAGTTTATTTGCATTTAATAGGCACCGAAACACCCGCACGGGAAATTATAATTTACACGAGCGAAGTAGCGGGATAAGCTACAAATATAACGTCACATTTTCTTTAATACGCAGTTGAATCATAACTTTTGTGATTTCATCCAGAATTGTCATTCTTTTTTTTTATCATTGCCCTTGTGAGACATTTAATATTTTCCGTATATGATTAATGAATACACACCTTCTTACGTATAACATTAGAAAATTGTAATATTGCACATATGAATTAAATAATTAAAAGTATGCTTTTATTTTTAATGTTCACTTTTACAAATGGTACTTTTCTTATAAAACTGTTATTATAATAATAATATTGTTTATTGGCTTCATGATTATTAGATTTTTACATGAATAGGGATACTAGGCTAAGATACCTTAGGGTTACAATAAAATACACAACTGGTGCTTCAAAAAGGAATACCTGAACGTTAAGCACAAACAAATTTAACAGTTTCTCAAAGTAAACTAACTTGTTACATATGTTTGTGTCAAAATGCTACACATACTATATTTTTTAAAAACGCTATAAATAAATGAATTACTACTTAGATAGATTTCCATTAGGCTCGTACAGTTCTATTATATCTTAATAAGAATTGCTAATAACTGACAGATATTTCAAATACCCTTTAAATATATCGAATAGAGTCTGATCCAATTATTATTTCCAAATAGCTTCAAAGAAAAAACCTAATGCCTCTCTCTTTTCATAGAATAAAAAAAGCTCTGTGGCATTAACACTGGATGAGTCAGCACAGAACACAAATTTAAATTTCAAATATCCGAAAGGAACTATTCGAAATGTATTTATGTACATTTATTTATGACGATATGATTTTGAATGGAACATCTTTCTTTAGTTTCATCGCTTAATAATTTAAAATTATTATTTAAACTAATTATTTGAGGGTCAACGTGATAAGAATGCATGGTATAAATGCTTTATAATTTATTATTACTTGCAAACTTTTACGATTATTGTTAAAGTAGTGCATAATTCCCTCGACCCAATGTGACACACATATTACCAACTACTCCACAAAAAGGATAAAATAAAAAACAAGAAATGGAAAATAATTGTGAATTCTGTGAGATTTTTTTTGATATTCTTCTATCAAGGATATGTTATAAATTAATATTTTTACTGTGAGAAAAAAAAAGCTTATTTAGACGTTATTTCATTCTTCAGAACCAGTTTAAAGTTAGTGATTTGGATATACGCGCCCTCTTAATTTGGAATCTGAATGCGTTTTCGTCTAAATTTATAACGTATAATTATTTAAAATATATGTAACTATGTTCAATTCTAAAAACTCCTTGCTTTTTTTACTATAGATACCAATACCATATTAGTAGCTAGTGTTACAGAAATTGGATTCTTTAACGTAAATGGCATGTCCGATATCCAACGTTGCTTATAACAGCTCAATTAAAATAGCAATGTAGCGTCAACAGCTTAAATAAGACCTCTAGTTAAGATACATAACTAGGTAGGACCGCATTTCTGCTAACTGACGTTAATATAATAATCATGTTCTAATAGGGTCGATATTTGAAATGCCTGTTGATACCTTTATAGAAATAATGATCACTAGAGACGGTCCTTGGTGAACAGAAGTGCTATTTTGCATCACACTCAACGTAGTGAACAGCAGTGCATCACACTCAACGTTGAGTACTGAGGTACAATCAAATAAAACCTACTTCTAAAGATTATCCACAGATCACGTACACAATCATTGAAGGTGCCAACAAAAAGTTTTTTGCACACAGCCACTAGTGGTTCCTTTAATAACCAGAACGTAAGCCGTCAAAATGCTTTGGTTACTTTTATGACCATAAACGTTTAAGTGATTATAAAGGTTTTATATGATTAAATTATGAATACTGTGACAGCGACGTCCAGTTTCCCCACAGAATTTTGATTCCGATCAATTTAATATTATTGATTAATTTTAGATACTTTTTTGCAAACGATACGTCCTTGAAAGTAATAAAAAAAAACGTCTGTTTTAAAGTAGAAATTATATATGTAGCGTGTAATTACGAATTTGTTTCCTTTCTTTGATATTTCTTCTGAACTGGTTCTTTACTTGCTGAGCCATAGACAAATGTAAATGCAATAGAAATCAGAGGGGAGTAAAAAACGAGAGACACCGTTTTCACCACTGTGGCAATAACGTATTACACATAGAGATACAACTCGAGTAGGGAAGATATGGCTGCCTGTAAGTAGAAATATAATGATTAAAAAGAGAGGGAAGATAGCGATAATCGAGCTGACGATCGTGATGCCGAAATCAAGTTCTCATTGCTTATACATTGCATTTATAGAAAAAAACATTATATTTTTCGATTAATAGAATCAAATCAATTTCAATATCAAAGGTTATTTATTATATTCAGACAGGTGGGACACCACCATCATCTCTTTCTTTCTAGTCGAGAGAACGTCTTGTCACTTAGCTTACGTACTATAGTATAAAAACTTTCAAATGACTCATGTCGCATTGTACATAAGTTCATCAAATTTTAATTATTTACACGCAAAGATTGTATGTTTAATTGTGATTCACATATGTATCAATTTTAATTTTAAAAGAGTATTCGCCCAGATATCGAGAGGTCGTGGGTCCCATCTCGGATTACCTGGAACTGCTGGATTTCTGAAGAATTTTTCTTTAAAGATATTTATCAATAGTATAGATATAGCATTCTGAATGCAAAGTTTAATTAATTACCTATTATAATTAACATGCATTTACATTTCAATCCAAAGTTTAAGTAATATATCTATCAGCTGTTCGTGTGCATTATCTGAACATAGATGAAAATACGCTTACAAGTAGCGAAAGTAAGAGTACTTGAGAAATTCGTCAGCTCCGCATTGCCTCGGGTAGCTCAACGGTTAGAGCCCGGATTGCAAAAGACTGTGGATTTCAATAATGTAATTTTCTTTAAGAATTATAGTCTATTAGTTGATTATATCGTCCTTTTTGTCGCTTCTTTAGTAAGTAATATCAGTTATAATTGTATCAATGGCACGATTAGTTTAACTTTCACAAAACAACAGGAGTCGAGATGTGAACTTCATACCGTGATGAGTAATACAAACCGGAATAGTCGGGGACAAAAGTGATAACTCCAATTATTAAGAATAACAATTTACTTTTATAAGGTATAAGTTTATTTATTCATATTATAAATAGCTCAAATCCCAAATTAAGTTCCTAATGCACTTGGATCATGGAAATGTATAACAACGAAGGAACCAGAACACCTAAACCAAGTCAATACAGAAAAGTTCACTTTTCAAATTAACACGACCGTGAATCGGACTTACCCTGCGATTTTGTGAAAATCCAGACCCGAATTCGAATTAACTTATGTGTCTGAATTCACCTCATTTAGTGTAGAAATTCTATTGGTTCTATTTTTTGTATAAAAATACAAAACAAAATTGATTGAACATGCGTATCTCAGATATTCTATTCTGTCATTTCGAAACTCACTTCACTTATGCCACGAAACGTTAATACTTTCGCGGTATACATTAATTCAAGCTTGAGCGATTGCCGCTTTTTGAGATGAATTCGGGTATGGATTTTTACAGAATTGCAAAGCTGCTGCTTATTCTGTAACTATGAGGATAGCCGAAATAATTTTTTCACAGAGTTCTGCGAG